CTGACCAAGTATAACTCTCGCTGCACTGCAAATTTTAAATCGCCGTTCTATGCGATTCTCAAGAATTCAAGTAAGTCTTGCGGGTTGGTAATCTAATAAGCTATATATTTGATCACGCTCCTCTAATTTTATATATTTATCCGTATATCTCAGGAGACAGGCCTAAAATGTCTACATCATCCCATCTTTCAAATTATTAATTTATTATTTATAAAATAACACAATATAGCTCTAAATCACTAAAAATCATATTAACTGCTATCTCTGTTCTGGTTTTAATTAATCAATTTTGCAGGGCACCGCCAAAAAATGTGCATTTGCATGCGAAACTCGACTAAAACTTTGATTAAGTTCAATGCAGCAACTGAAACTGGTTTACTCTGCATTTCATCCACTTCAACCTGACCCCATGGAACGCCTCACACCATGGAGCAAAATGTTCCGAAAGGAGCAACAGAAAATAAAACTTGCAAAATGCAAAACAAAAGCTCAACTTCAGCTGAATGCGGAGGGCGAGAGGGGGAGAGAGAGAGAGAGAGAGAGATAGTAACAATTGATGGAGCTGCCGCTGTTGGCCAGAGTTCGTTGTGGATGTGGGTGTCGGGGAGCTCGGGAGCTCGGGAGCTCGGGAGTCTGACAGCAGAACTTTCGCTAGCAGCTGCTGCACCTTTCAATGATAACTGAAAATCTATTTTCTAACTGACTGACAACCAATATATTTGAATGCGGGGGAAAAACAAAACAAAAAAAATATACATATACATATATATATATATATGTACATGTATGTGCATAAAACAAAGGAGAACGGCTGTGCTGGACACGTCGAGGATTAAATACTCTTTTAGATATATGGGATTTTAGATAGGTGAGGAAAATAGTGAACCTCGCCATCCGGGTCTAAATAGCTTGAAGGTTGGCTCTTTATATAGAGTCATATGATATAGGGATCCGTTGTTGATTAAAGTAAGACCTTGGTACGGTGCCTTGTGAAACAAGTAAATGCCAAGTTATGTCGGGTTATTTTTAAAACTTAAAACTAAAAGGAAAACTCTTATGATATATGATTTGTTATTAGATTGAGTTTGACGGCAGAAAAATTAAGACATTGCTCAGCTATAAATAGTGATATAGTGTTCCGATCCATCTGATTTATATGGTCCGGCGTCGGAGATGTCTCTTTTTGTGCGTTACACGTGTCATGACAAAATAATAATACCCTTTAGCAGGGTATACAAAATATGGTAAGCAATTTCTATGCTGCTGGTTAGCATGTGATGTTCACCTTGCCACGCCCAATTTAGTTTCGTCACATCAAAATATTTGCTCTCCCACTTCACTGTGTTGTTGGTTGTTGTTGTTGTTGTTGGCGTTGTTGTTGGTTTGTTGGTTGTTGTTGTTGTTGTTGTTGTTGTCAACATTTTGGGGCTTGTGGGCGCTTACCGCGTATAATTTATCTATGCATATGTTTTGAGTTGCCAACAGCAGCCAAACGAGAACAGGAGAGCCCACATAAATCACAAGCCCCTGCTCAGTCACACCCACAGACACATTCTCTGCCCTATCCCCAAACACACACACACACACACACACGCACACACACTCACACGCACACACCCCTTTCGTGTAACAGCAGTTATCGCCCTCGCGCTTCGCCCAAAAACTCTAAAAAGCAATTGCTGTGAATTTATTTCCACGTGCCTATTATAAGAAGAACGAGATTAGAAGGGGATGAGTTTTGTGTGTTGTTACCTTATGAAATTATCGAGTTTCTGGGAAATAATACTATATTGACAAAATGACAGAAGACAAGGCTGGTAAGACGATCACTTAAAACAAAAATAAACAATTTATAAAAACAATATCGGCTCAATTTTATCCAATATTAAAAAACACACAATTGAGCTGCGAATTTTTTATAATTTATTATTATTCAAGTTAATTTTGTTGAAATAATAATTTTTTTGGGCATTGCCTTTATGAAAGCTTAAGCCGTTTGGATCGTCAGGCAGTGTCCATTCTGTGGCCATTGTGGGCAAGGGTTGTGCACGAATCTTTTGGTAAAACAAATCTCAGCTGGGGGGACAAACATGCATGACAGCAGCCATCAACGTTATATCGATGGCATTCACATGTTTAGCACACAAACGAAATGCCAAAGCAAAAATATGCATACAAATCTATCTATCTGTGCGTATTGATAGCCAAAAACCGAGACAAGTATTGTGGAGACTGGGAGTCGGAGTCCAAAACTCAAATCTGACGACTGTTCCACATTTTGTTGTGCATGACAGCCATTGTGTGTGGCAGTGTCTGTGTGAACGTGTGTGAACGTGTGTGAACGTGTGTGCCCGTGTGTGTGCGTGTGTGTGTGCGTGTCTGTTATCGAATATTGTCTATATGGGTCTCTAGTCTCTGACTCTGAAATCTGGTTGCTGTTTGTTCGTCCGTTTCGTGGCGTCCCAATCAATTGTCCAAATGTCCAAACTTCATTTGTTATGCGCATCACAAAAATTTAAGCAAATCATTTTGCCAATCGCATTTTGATTTCGAATGTCAGTGACGGTATGCTAGATAGAACACGGCTGGCGAGGGCGGTGGAGGGCGGCGGGTGGCAAGCCACCCCACAATTTATGTTAATTTTTGTGTATTTGCCGCCAGCGGCGCCTAAAATTATGCAATGCCTTTATTAATTTATGACAAACCAAATGGGGAATCCAGTTAGTGATGGGCGCGTGATATATAAATATTGGCCAAAGTAATTGTAATCAAAAGTAGTTTGTCGAAAAATGTAACAGAGCTACAAAAAAGCTTAAATCGGTTCGATTTAATCCCGGTTTCTAAGTTGCCTATTGACCATGTAAGGAAGTTTTCATAGCATGAGTTGCACAAGGAACACTCGAACCTAGACCTGAATCGAACCCTATAGTTTTTGCTATAACTGTTTCAAACATATAGCTTCACAAGATTAACATATATATTAACATATAAGTTACATACTTGTAACTATACCTTCTTCCCTCATTTATTCGCTTGGTAGAGATCAGAAGGAACTGATCGATTCCAGCGCAAAATAAAACATATTTAAATTGGAAAAAATATATATAAATAAATATATTATAGAAAATTGTTGTTTTTGTATACAACATTTGCGTAAGTCAAATATTTTGTATGGTTCTCTTTAAGTTTACCAAAAAATATCACGTAACATAACTCGAACCAAATCTGAACTTATGGAAAGGCTTTTATAATTTCTAATAGCAGCTTATGTTACTTAACAGTGATGCTCTCTTTTTAACAGTGAAGCCACTCATAGCTCCTGTTATTAAACTTGAAACTATCGTCTAAGCATCGCGTGACCAACTCACGCGCTCAACTGTAGGTGAGCTGGGATAAATGGATTTATTTATCCATAGTAACTTGGCCCTCGGTCTCGGCTAGTTATGCAGTGTTTAACTTTGCCCGGGGCTTCTGTTGGTTGGGGGCGTGGCATTTTCATTTTCACGCGCCAGCCGCGTAACTCATTTTCGCCTCAGAAAAAGTAGGAGAGCGAAAGAAAAAAAATATATAAAAATAAATAAAAGGGAAATAAAGTTTCTTTTGCTGCTACTTGGCACATTCTTAATTTCTTGCGTATTTTGTCAAGACAAATTGAATTTTTATGAGCGTCGTCGACGTCGACGCAAAGAAATCGCAAAAGGCGTCGCAGCCCCAGCGGCAGCAGCAGCAGCAGCAGCAGCAGCAGCAACAACAGCAGCAGAACCAGCGAAAACTTTAAACTTTTCTCATCTTGTGAAATTCATTTTATCACAAGTAATTACTTTGTAAATATATGGGGTGGCAGACAATGCAGCAGACGTCGCAACGTTACGTGAATTGCACACGCAGCCTTTTGCCATTTGAAGAGGGCAATAAAATGGCTGGCAGCGCAAGAAAAAAAACTTAAAGACTGCAACATGCAACAAGGAGTGAAACTTAGAATAGGCACAGTAGAAGACCAAATGCTCTATATGAAAAGTATAGAATACAATTTAGAAACCGATTGTGTTAAGAAATTTACTTATACTATGTTTATATCGCCCTTCTATGCGATTTTCATGGCCTCAGGTACCATCAAGATATTTATATGATTTATATTAAAATGTGTTTCTCTGTCTCTTTTTCCCCCTTAGAATTTAATAGCTAGTTATCAAATTGAACATATACTCTCTAGAATAGTACAAGTTACATTCATTTTATAGCTAGAGACACCCCCACCCACCCGCGCATGACCCATATCTATAAATTAAATAAATGAATAAATATGGAAGTACTCACCAATTTAAGCCACAATCAAAATGCCTTTGTCTTCTTACGAATATACGAATATTGCACAGCACAATAATGCCTACTGAAGAAAATTGCATCAAGTTCCGTTAAGAAACGTAGAAGTTATTAAAGGAAACGTGGCAGGCCCCGTGGCTGCAAGAATCTCAGCATACATGTGCATACATACATTGAAATGCGATTGTATTGAATTAGGTGCTGAGTGTGTGTGTGCTGCTATTTTAACTCAGACGGTGGCAGAAATTCCAGTCGGTTCAAGTTTGTTGTGAGTTCGACTCCGGATGAGGGTTCTTAATTTTATTTTTTTTTTTAATTTATCCTTATCTCGAATTAATCCCTATCTCCCTCCTACCTCCAACTTTTGATAGTCTTCAAATATATGAGCGCTGTTTGCACAATTCAGATCAGAATGCGTGCTTTTGGTATCTGCCTGCACTGTCTGCGCAACATTGTTGCCAAGAAAAATGTTGCAAGCAACATGCACTGTAAGCTTTGAACATAAATTTGGTGTTTAAGATGTCCTTTTAGGACACATAGATGCTCCGCTCATCCAAAAGACAATGGGTATTTGAAAAAATTGGAATAAAGTTGACACAAGCTTCTTCGTTCCTAAAGCCATTGCATTTTGGTATACAGCAAAGCGATGCGCATGATTTAAAACACATTGATAAATATCCAGTTTACATGTTTATTGTTGTTATTGAATGCTCACTGCAAATGCAACTTGCCATTGAGTTTGTCAAACCGCGACAATAATTTGCATAGGCAGCTGGGCCAAAATCCATGTAAGCATTGAAATTGTAGGCGAGCGCACACTGGAGAAGATTGTGGCGCTTAATCGAAAAGGCCAAAGCCCATGTCATCATCCTCCTCCTCGGATTCGGACTCGGCCTTCTTGGCCTCCTCCTTCTTTTCGGCAGCGGCGCCACCAGCAGCTGGTGCCGAAGTGGCAGCAGCAGCAGCAAACTTGCTGGGATCCTTGATGTACTCCTTGATGGTGGTGGCCTCCTTGAACTCAACCTCTGTGGTGGCAGCGATGGCCAACAGGTTCTTGAAGCCGTTGGCAATGCTGTGAGGTGCCGAAGCGATCGTTGGATAACCGACGGACAAACAGACGGCAGCCAGATTGGCAACGCCTTGCTGGAACTTGGCGCGCAAATCCTCGGGCTTGATGTCCAAGATCTCAGGAGAGAAGATTGAACCCGAATCATAAACCTGGCTCACGAGCAGACCATACGAGAAGGGCGAAATGTTCAACATGTTCAGCAAAGTGGCCTCGGAGGCGCCCACTTTGTCACCGGGCTTCAAGATGGGCACATCGTTTATGATTTCAATTGTACCCTTGGAAATCTTGGTCGGGATGGAGAGAGCCTGGAAGAAACTAGTCTTCTCTGGACCAAGACCAGTATTCTGAGCCGGAATTACGACGGGCAAAGGTGCAATGGCGCCTGGACGTGCGGGAGCGCGCACCTTCGATTCCAACAGTTTATCGCGAACCTCAGCCAAATCGCCCTTGGTGAACACAAATCCAACATTGCCCTTGATATGCGGCAACAGTTTCTCCAACTGCGGGTTGTTCTCCAAATGTCCACGAATTGCTTTGCGCATCATCGTATTCTTGCCCATCAATACCACAGCGAGGCCACGCAGGCTGGTACGGATGTTCTGCATCTGCTTGGAGCCAACATTGTCGGCGCCCACAATGAAGCACTTTGGGAACTCATCGAACAGTTCCTAAATTCATTTCGTTAGTAAATTCTTTAATATCTAAACAAATATTGTTTCTTAAACAGTTTAAAAATCAACATACCACAACTTTGATGAAGTACTGAGCCTTCCATGCTGCTTTGTTCTCCCTAACCATTTTGAAGTTGTATTAGGGACTCGTCTGAATTTAAGAACTGTAAAAATGGAAACATTTTATTACCATTCGGTACAGCAATGTTTGTTTTCTTAAAATTTCTTGTTTTTCATGCAAAAACTATTAGGATTACATTTATTTTTTAAGATTTTTGCTTTTCACTTACCAAAACACAAACTATACGCGTTGATGACTCGGACGAAATGGGAGAGATGTGCGATAAGTGCGGCGAAGCTATCGATAGGGTGCGACATTGTTCTAATTAATATCGATTACTAACTGTGCAATTGACATAAGAGGAATTTCATATTGCATATGTAATAATTTAAAAATTACCTGTTTTTGCTGTTGTTATTCTATATTACATTTTAAGAATACCCCTTTTTAATAATATTTTACAACCCGCGATACTAGCTACCAAGGTATCGATAGTTTATGAAAAGTGTTACCCTATAACAAAAAATGCTGAGGCCACATTGTTGTTCCAGTGGAGTGCTGCAAAATATTCTTTTTTAAATCAACCCTACTCGCGAACAGCTGTTGGTAAATTTTATTTATTATCGATAGCTGTTTTAACAAAATTTAAGCTATGCTTATAATCTTCATAAATCTAGTTGTGCAATAATCAGGTACTTAGAGCATACTTTCCTTCTTAATAAGCGGCGAAACAAAAGTTGAGAATCGAGCGACCTTGAAGAGCAAACTATATTTGGCACCAACACTTAAAATCTTATTGAATTTCACAACAATTCATAGGATGGGCAAAAACTATTATCAGATTTTAGGCATTAACAGGACGGCAAACGATGATGAAATCAAAAAAGGTTATAAGCGAATGGCCCTTAAGTATCATCCAGATAAGAACGACCACCCACAGGCTGCGGAACATTTCCAAGAGATTGCCGCCGCATTCGAGGTACTGTCAAACAAGGAAAAACGCCTGATATATGACCAATATGGAGAAGATGGCCTTAAAAACGGCGTTGAGCAAACGCCTTTTGCACAACCAACAGCGGATATGCTGCCGTTTATGTGTGCCGTTGGGGGGACTGTTTTGTTTGCTTTCGCTGCATTCAAGACATTCCAATATTTCACAAAAAAAAAGGATTCTGGAGAACACGAAAGTGACTCGTCTTCGGAATGAGAAATTTAATATTTTCGAATTTACGCGCTTGTATCTCTAGCATGTTATAAAATTGTTAAATTGTATTGTGTAAATTTCTTTCTTGTGGAAAGTGAATAGTCCATAAAATGACTAACTATTTTCGAATTTAGATGCTTGCGTGTCTTTATTAATAAATTCTTTGAAATGTATTTCGTTGTTTGTTGTAAATTTACTCAGAGAAAGATCTTATCAGTTTGCCTATCGCTATCGATAAAAATGCTGCTGCGTTATTTTTTCAGCTTAAAAATAGTCTCAGGACTGGATAAATATGGACGATTCCGTAAGAAAAACGCATATTGTCAAAAATCTCGAAGCATTGATGTAATCGATAGTCCTATCGATGTCTTGTCAGCTCTATTATAGGTAAATGTCGGTACATCCCCTGAACTTCTGCAATACTTATGTAAGGCTCGCATATATGGTTAATAAGACTAATCGACATCCTGGTGATGCAGGCCCATTCGAAGTTTATGCAATAATCGTGTAAAACAGTATATTGTTCGTCTAAAAACTAAAGATATAATAACACCTGATTTTAACTGTAGGAAATATTCATTCTACTGCAACTTTCTTACCATAAATAATAGATACACCTCCAAAATATCGATACAAAAAAATCGTATCAAATCAATTTCTTCAAAAATCGAAATCTTGTACCTATATATATCAGCTGTTGCTCGCCTGCCTAATATTTAACTTTTTGTAGATCACATCATAACTATATTCAAATCTGAGAAACTAATCGCTGCCATGGTCAGTCACGATCCCTACGAGATTCTAGGTGTTAGGAAGACTGCCACCAAGGATGAAGTAACCAACGCTTACCGCGAACTCCTCGCCGAATGCTATCTAAAGGATATCAAGCAGTTTAAGCTGATCGTTAGAGCGTATCTAGTGTTGACAGGAATGGAGGAAGAGACCCCGGCAGTTAGAACGGTTAGTCGTGCCAGTCCCCCAAGGAGAGCTCGTTCGGGATGTTTTACAGTGATCTACATTGTTGGGGGATCTATTTTGCTAGGCTTTGCAGCCTACAAGACGTTTCAACTTGGAAGAGCGTTAAGTAAGCGAACTGATTTGTCCAAATCAACATCTAGCTTTTTATCGAAATCATGGGACTGGATAGCAGGTCCACCGGACACACAATGGAGCTGGACCGGACAAAAATTGTCAACGCAAACAAAAGTTGACTCGTCTGTCAATACTTTTGTAGGCTCAACTATGGGAGCCTTATCGAAGGCTTGGTCATGGTCAGCAGAATCGACAGGCACAGCTTGGAAGTGGACCGCAAGCAAGTTGTCATCGCAAAGCGGGGAGCCAGAAGCATCCTCGACAATGTCTTTATCTGTCAGCGCTATTGCAGGCTCGACTATGGGAGCCTTATCAAAGGCTTGGACATGGTCAGCTGGATCGGCAGGCACAGCTTGGAAATGGACCACGAGTAAGTTGTCATCACAAAGCGGGGAACCAGAAGCATCCTCGACAATGTCTTCATCTCTCAGGACTGTTGCAGGCTCAACTATGAGAGCCTTATCAAAGGCCTGGACATGGACAGCGGGATCGGCAGGCACAGCTTGGAAATGGACCACGAGTAAGTTGTCATCGCAAAGTGGTGACTCAGAGGCATCCTCTTCGATTTCTGCTTCTGTCAGCACTGTTGCCGGCTCGACTGTGGGAGCCTTATCAAAGGCTTGGACATGGACAGCGGGATCGGCAGGCACAGCTTGGAAGTGGACCGCAAGCAAGTTGTCATCGCAAAGCAGGGAACCAGAAGCTTCCTCGACAATGTCTTCATCTGTCAGCGCTATTGCAGGCTCGACTATAGGAGCCTTATCGAGAGCTTGGACATGGTCAGCAGGATCGGCAAGCACAGCTTGGAAGTGGACCGCAAGCCAGTTGTCATCGCAAAGCGGGGAATCAGAAGCTTCCTCGACAATGTCTTCATCTGTCAGCGCTATTGCAGGCTCGACTATGGAAGCCTTATCGAGTGCTTGGACATGGTCAGCAGGATCGGCAAGCACAGCCTGGAAGTGGACTGTAAGCAAGTTGTCATCAGAGAGTGGGGCCTCAGAATCTTCCTCAGAAATGGCCTCATCTGTTGGCTCTATTGCAGGCTCGTCTATTGGAACTCAGACGGAAGCTTGCATATGGGCAGCTTTTTGGATGTTATTTATTATTTTTATTTAAATGTATACATTTGGTCAATATAGATATATTTTTTTTATAAATGGACGTCCCCACATTTGTTACCCCTGTCCTGAAGCCCACTTCCAGATTTTTGACAAGGCGTTAACAGATGAGGACTCGGCTGAAGATGTAGTATCGGCACCTTGAGAAGAAAGCTTGCCTGCGGTCCATTGCCAAGCTTTTGAAAGTGCTCCAACTGATGCTGAAGTTACACTCCCCGGTGGGGATGATGCGGTGTCCGCAACAGCCGAGCCCGTAGCCCACTTCCAAGCTTTTGACATAACGCTCAGCGAAGAAGCCGATACGGAGCTCGCTGATTGGGGGTCTGGCGAATTAGATGATGAATCTGCAATTGGTGATGACAGTTTTCTAGCAGTCCACTGCCAAGCTGTGCATGCTGATCCTGCTGTCCACGTGCAAGCTTTCGACACAGCTCCCATAGACGAGCCTGCAATAGAGCTGACAGAAGTAGAAATCGAAGAGGATGCCTCTGAATCACAACTTTGCGATGACAACTTGCTTGCGATCCACTTCCAAGCCATTGTCGAGGATGATTCTGAGGTCTCACTCTCTGATGACAACTTGCTCACGGTCCATTTCCAAGCTGTACCTGCCGATCCCGCTGACCATGTCCAAGCTTTCGATAAGGCTCCCATAGACGAGCCTGTAATAGAGCTGACAGAAGTAGAAATCGAAGAGGATGCCTCTGAATCACAACTTTGCGATGACAACTTGCTTGCGATCCACTTCCAAGCTGTGCCTGTCGATCCTGCTGTCCATGTCCAGGCCTTTGTTAAGGCTCCCATAGACGAGCCTGCAACAGTGCTGACAGATGAAGACATTGTCGAGGATGCTTCTGATTCCCCGCTTTGCGATGACAACTTGCTCGCGGTCCATTTCCAAGCTGTGCCTGCCGATCCCGCTGACCATGTCCAAGCTTTCGATAAGGCTCCCATAGTCGAGCCTGCAACAGTGCTGACAGAAGTAGAAACCGAAGAGGATGCCTCTGGGTCACCACTTTGCGATGACAACTTGGTCGCGGTCCACTTCCAAGCTGTGCCTGCCGATCCCGCTGTCCACGTCCAGGCTTTCGATAGAGCTCTCATAGTCGAGCCAGCAACAGTGCTGACAGGCGAGTCAATTAACGTAGACGCTTCAGATTTTGCAGCTGTGTTGATAGCTGAGGCGATCGCTTCAGAATCCACAATTTGCTTTGACAATATTCGCAATTCTACGCCTGATAATTTTGCTATCCACTCCCAATAATTCGACGGATAGGTAAGTGTTGATATCTTCGCTGTGCTTTCAGAGAAAACTGTTGACGACAACGTTAATGGGTCTTTCACTTGTGTTGAGAGCTTCTCAACAGCTGCTGTCCACTGCACTCCAATTGCATCGGCATTTTTTGGTACCATGTAGTCTACGCCCATTAGTGAGGCGCTCTGGAAAGCTCGCTTACTTAACGCTTTTCCAAGTTGAAACGTCTTGTAGGCTGCGAACCCTAGCAAAATAGATCCCCCAACAATGGAGACTACAGTTAAACAATCTGATCGTGTCCATTTTGTCGGACTGGTGCGAAAAGTTCGAATAATAGAGTGTGGTGGTCGTGGTGTGGTGCTCTCGCATTTAGCGGATTCTGTTTTGGTCTCGCTGTTTTGATGCTCATTGCTCTGTTTATATCCACGAGCAGTGTACCAATTCGTATATCGTTTTTTGTAGCTTCTGTTGTACCATCGACCGTGTGACTGGCTTTGACTTCTTTTTGGACTTTCATTCGCCTTACTTATGCGATCATATTCTCTGCGCTGATCTGGATCCGAAAGTACTGTGTATGCTATATTTATCGACTGACAATAGTCAAGTCCATGCTTAGTTTGCCCTGGATTCTTGTCTGGATGGTAACGCTTCATAAGCTTAATATAAGCTGGTTTAATTTGTTCTTGAGTGGCTTTCCGGTTAACTCCAAGGGTGCCATAGTGATCTTTCAATTTTTTGCTCATTTTAAACGGTGTTTCTCATTACTTTACAATTATAGTTTATAATTTGTATATTGCCAGCCACTTTCAATTTCCAACAATGAAAATCGTGTGACTTACCACATTTTACCGATATTTGGTGGTGCTTATTTTCGATATGTGCAAAGTTAAAATTTATCGGTAATTATTTAGTTTAGTTATCGGAAACAAGAATCGATTCCGCGCGCAAAACTGTATTAAACCAAAATCTCGACTCATTTTGAGCTTCTTTATCATCGGGAACAACTAAGAAATTACCTAAATACTAGCTTAGCTGACAAAACACCTAAATATCTAACTGATAAACAGCGATCACAACAGATGTTAACATAACAGGATAATAAGCATCGATCACAACAGATGTTAACCTAACAGACGAATATAGATAAACAGCGATCACAACAGATGTTAACATAACAGGCGAATAAACATCGATCACAACAGATGTTAACCTAACAGACGAATATAGAGCGATCGCACAAATGTAAACATAACAGACCAACCAAAAGTGACGTGTTTCGTTTAAATTTGGTAAATCACACTAAAAGCAAAGTGTCTAGCGGTCAGCAAACAATGCATTTAACATCATAGGTTCGTCAAAAAACTACCAACTATAATGAGCAAACAATTTGAAGATCACTATGGGACCCTTGGAATCGATCAAAAGGCAACAAATGAACAAATTAGAACTTCTTATATTAGGCTTGTGAGGATATGGCATCCAGACAAGAACCCGAGGCAAGGTGCCAAGGGACTCGAATTTTGTAAGGCATTAAATAGAGCATACGGAGTACTTTCAGATCCTGTGCTGCGCAGAGACTATGATCGTATCTATAATGTCCATAGAAATCAAAAGGAGTGTCAAGAAAGCCAGTCACAAGGTCAAGGGAACAACAGCAGCCATCATCAACAGGAAAATGCGAAATCTAGCAATGATCGTGGATATAAACAGGACAATCAAAATCAAAAAAAGAACCAGGATCAATATAATAAAAGAAGTTCCCACCAAGAGAACGCAAAATCTAACAATGATCGTGGGTATCAGCGGAACAATCAAAATCAAAAAAAGAACCAGGATCAAGAGAATAAAAAAAGGTACCACCAAGAGAACGCAAAATCGAACAATGATCGTGGATATAAACCGAACAATGAATATCAGAAGAATACCGGCAATCAAGAATATAAAAAATATGATCAACATAGCCATCAAGATCGAAACAACTACGAAAATCAAAGAGGCTACCAAAATCAAAATAATGACTACAGTCGTTGGCACGAGCATCGGAACAACCAAGATTGGAGTAACCGCAGTTCTCACTACAGCTCCCAATATGAAAACTTTGAAAGAAATCGAAGCGGTCCAGACAACGCCAACTTATATGAAATTCTCGGTTTAAAAACGAATGCTAAAAAGCAGGATATTGAAAGTGCATTTCGCAAATTGGCAATGCAATACGGCAATAGTGAAAACTCTGCGGTCAAGCGACAATTCCAAAAAATTCTTGGGGCCTATTTAGTTTTAAGTGATCCAGTCTTGCGTGCCAACTATGATAGGGAAAACCACAATAACAGTGAAAGGAGAAGTAACTATGGAACATTTACATTTTTTAGCAACGAGCATTTTGATGAATGGCGGTCATCATTTTTTAATAACCCAGGTATTTGGAAAGCTATCTGTCTTGTTTGCATAGGTGGCGGATACGTATTAATCATTGTTTGCAAATGGACGGTTATTATACTATATCATTTAGCAAAGTATATCATTAAAATTTTGCCACCTCTGCTGCTGCTACTAGGGAAACTAATTTGTATTATTGTTCCCCCATTGTTCAAGGGGTCAATATTTTTGCTTAAAGGCTTAGCAATAAGTATTGGCTGGAGCTTCAAAATGTTATTGAGGTGTGTGATTGGATAAAGTAAGAATAACATTTTAAAATCGAAAGATCGTCAAATTTGTAAGCCTAAAATAACAGGAAGTTGTCTTATTGTATTGTCTCATTGTAATCAAAAAAAAAAATGTTTTAACTAATATTTTAAGTTTAAAGAAGTTTTAAGTTAATAGAATATTGTTTAATTTCAGGAATACCAATATGAACGTGCATTTCTGCCTATTTCATTCAAAAGCTATTTTTATTTTAGAAGATTAACATTGTAATCAAAAAAAATTATTTTAACTTTTGGGAAAAGTCAAACTGTGAATATAAAAATAAAATTTTAAGGAATACGTATAGAAAATTGTTATATTACCATCTATATTATCTGCCTGTTTTTTTTTTTCAGATTATTTATTATTTTTATTTCAAGAGAAGTTTCACAAATGTTGCTCACCTAATGCTAAATGAGGGGAATGATTTGATCGATTTAGTTTCCAATCTTTTCAATATCATCCGCATTATCGGTGTTCAAATAAGTAATATCCTTTTGGAAGTGCTTCTCGATTGTGCGACACACTGCCATGCTTTTCTCACCGTCTATCAGATTTATAGCAATCCCGGACTTTCCAAAGCGACCAGTCCGGCCAATACGATGTAAATATGTTTCACAGTCAGCATTGCCACGCAGATCAACAGGCAGATCAAAATTAACAACAATTGTAACTTGTTCGATGTCAATGCCGCGCGACAGGACATTCGTGGTGATGAGAACTTTCTCCTGTCCGGACCTAAAGCGATCCAGAACAGCGAGTCTCTGCTCAACGGTCAGGTCGCCAGAAAGAACAGCTACAGAATGGCCATCGGCAGTCATTTTAGCTGCCAGCCATGCAGCTGTTTTGCGTGTATGACAAAATATTATAGCCTGGCCGATGCTAATGCAACCATAAATATTCTGGATTGCATTGTATTTGCCATCTTCGTTTTTGCAATTAACATAATATTGTTTTATGTTATCGAGAGATTCTTCCTCACGCATCAATCGAATTATTGTTGGCTCAGACACAATCAAACGAGCAAAGTCCATAACCTCCTTGTCATATGTTGCCGAGAAAAATAACATTTGACACTGTGAACTGAGCATTTTATGAATTCGGATGCATTGATCGTGATGTCCTTGCGTTGCAATCATAACGTCGGCTTCGTCCAATACAAAAACTCGAACTTTTTTCATATCGAACAGGCGCATTTTGAGACCCCAATCCAACATTTTACCAGGCGTTCCAATTAAAATGTGTTCTGTAATCTTTGAGTTCCGGTCAACTGGAAATAAATTTTATTTGCTATAAGCATAAATATGTAAAAAATTGAATTTTGCCTTACCTTCTTCACCGCGAACTGCAAATCTCAGCTTTATATCCGGACAAAATTGACCCATGCGTGCGGCCACTTCCCCAGTTTGAATCGCAAGCTCATATGTGGGCGATAGGCACAGAACTTGAGGATGGTCCAAGGCGACGTTAACGCGACTGAGCATTGCCAACACAAATGCTGCGGTTTTTCCCGTGCCAGATTGGCTTTGCGCTATCATATTTTGCGGTGGATCTGCAAGGAGTGTTGGCAATGCAGTTTCTTGAATTTTCGATGGCGTATTGAAGCCCATGGCGTAAATGCCTTTCAAGAGTTCCGGTTTAAGGTGTAGTGCCTCGAATGTTTTAACTGAATGCAATGGCGAGTTCGGATTTTTTTGTTGGATGTCCAAAGACTGGTTGGTGTTAACCAAACCCTTTCCCAATATCTTTATAAGAAGACTGGTTTCCGCTGGGTCCGCGACATCCGCTTCATTGTCCTTATTGGCTGCTGTTGTCGCCGCCGGCTCATCCGCATTTAGGTTAATTTTCAATTTCGGCACCTCTTGGTCTTCGGCAATTTTAACCCAGTCGGTCATTTTAGATTCTTTTAATATTTTCCCTTTTAAAAGTCAAAATGGAATTGCACAAATATGTGGATAGAGACAGTCAATGCCTGATGCAGCTGTTTTCAATAAATGCGTGCAACAAAAAGTATCGATAGTAATTTAAGGGTTTCGCTTGGTATGCTGGTCACGCAAGCAAGGCCTGATGTAGCGATACGTATTAATAAGAAATCTGTAAGCATTCAAGACGTAAGCGTAATATAATAGTTGTAGTCGATAAGCGCATTGAGCTTCCATGTAAGCCGCACTTGCGTGCTATTGCTATTCGAAATCAGCATAGAGCTGATACAGTTAGTGCCACAAACATATCGACATATCGATACTACAATCGGACAGGTCGTTGTTTTGTCGACATATCGATACTGCAATCGGACATGTCGTTGTTCTGTAATGTACATTGTACAATGTTTTTGGAAAAGTTTACTGCTTTATTTCATGGTATTCGCTCAAAATTAGCTATAAAATTAAAGCTTTCTTAAGATAGTTAATGCGAAATCCGAAGCCTGCTATAGCTACAAATCGAAAATTTGTGAACATTTCACGTCTAGAGGCACTAAGGTGAAGTTTCGTATTTGGTTTCAACATTTGTGAGGATCCTCCACTGGCGGTGTAGCTGCGAGCGTTACTAAACAAGATAACTGCGCAGTTATATATATGTATTCTGCACATGTATGCATGTCCTTCAATTTTGATGCCAAGGCAAAACTATACGCTAGAAACCGAAAGAAACTGCGAACACAGCAAAAATGTCTTCGGCGGGAAATGCTGCTGAGCAAGCAGAAAATCTGACGCGCTGGTTTAACGAGAAGCTGACCGTAAAAGAAGAGAGCAACAACAACAACAACAATTGTAACGCAAACAAATACATTGCGCCAGCAGCAGCTGCTATGCCAAAGATGTGTCCAAGCAGCACGAGCAACAACAAAAGCAAGGAGTTTAATGAAATTTGTAAAAAGGCTCAAGCTGGCCACAAAATGATGATAATTATGCGCGGTCCACCGGGCAGCGGCAAATCCACAATGGCCAAAACACTACTACAACAAATTCATTTGCTGGAACAGCATTCGATTACGGATTTTGTGCACAGCAGTGATGATTACTTTCTCACGCCGCGTGGATACCAATTTAATCCGAATCTGTTACCGGAAGCTCACGACTGGAATAAACATCGGGTACAGCGTAAAGCCGCCGCTGGCTGGAGTCCCATAATTGTGGACAACACGAATACAATGGTATGGGAGATGCAGCCCTATGTACAGATTGCCGTGCAGCATGGTTACCTTTTGGAGCTGCTTGAGCCCCAAACGAGCTGGCGCAAGTCGGCCACAGAGCTGGCCAAACGAAATGTCCACCAGGTGCCAAAGGAAAATATAAAACGAATGCTGGATCGCTACGAGAAGACTAGCGTTGCCGAGCTGATTGGGGTAAAATCATGAATTTGCACAATTTTGCAATATCCAAATATAATTAATTTTCTGTTAACAGTTGCTTAAAGAAACAAAGTATACGGTGTCCTTGCCGCAGCTGCGTTTAAAGCCGCCTTTGCCAGCGTTGCCGGCACCAGCCACACCTTCGCTGCAATCGGACATCTCCAGTGCGCTTTTAAGTTCCCATTCGGATGGATTTAAGCTGAATGTGAATGCTCAAACTTGGATGCCGTATGAGCAAAATGTGAACAGCTACTGGGCGCAGACGAACGACCAGCCGATGCCAACAACAGTTGCCAGCGTTGCGGCAACAGGTGAAAGTTCGTTGTTAGATTTGTTGCGAGATGAGCAACCGCCCGAAACGACAAATCCAACTGTTGCGACATCATCATCAACAGATATCAGCAACAAGGCTTTGCAGCGTCATAGCTTAAACTGCCCGAACGAGGCGGGTGGCTTTGTAGCACTGCGTCAAATATATCCGAACAAGCAGTTGGCAGGCCTCTGGGATTTGTATGTCAAGTGCAACGGTGATGTGGATTGGGCAGTGGATATATTAATCAAAGAAGATGAGCTCACAGCAGACGTCGCCGACTATGCTGAGGAAGCGTTGCTCCTGGAAAGCGAAGAATTTCGATGCGATTGTAGCAGTAGCAGTAATAAGTTTCAATTGCAAACATCATCCGTGCCGGCTGCTCCACCCACACCAGTTGTTCACAAAAGCCAAGCTAAGCCACAGCGTCAGCCGCGTACAAGACGCAACGCTGGCCTTGGCTACGCGAACAGGGAACTTCAGCTACAGATTGAGAACAGTTTTGTTTTGGGCGATGATCAGTACTCGGAGCATACGCGAAAAATACGCGACATACGCAATGGTTGTTTAGATCAACCGCTGCCAACAGTTGAGCCGGCACCAATGGCTGCTACTGATGAGGATGATGATGATTCGGAGGATAATGCACTGCTCGAAATGGATCTGGGTAAAAATTTTATCGAACAACTCCGCAGCAACTTTCAGTGGGAGGGTGAATTGCTGCCCGTAGATCCAGAGTCGTTTCCCACAAAAGTGTTTGTGCCGTACAACCTGGCCAAGCAATTATACATGCTTTGGATGGAAGCGGTGCACAATCAAGTTGAAGAACAGCGTCAGCAAACCTTGCGCGATGATGAGCAATTTGCACGTCTACTCAAGCATCCCAAATACGCTGAGTGCAGCGAATCACCCGGCAACGTCAACGAGCTGCTCGATATGGAGCTCGCCTGGAGCATCTACAACAGTGAACAACAGGCAGCCAAACAGGCAACCCAATATAAGCCCAATGATATTGCTACGCATTTGACTAAAATGAAGCTTTGCGAGAAATTTCCCGAAATACCCAGCGATACCGTGCTGCAGGTCTTTGAAGCTACTGACAACAATTATGTGAAAACCGTTGAGGTACTGGACAGTAATGTGCAGAGCGATTTAACCAGCGCTGAGCTTTACGAACAGGCGCAGCGCGAAAACGAAAAGGTAAGTGGTTCTTACCCCGTTTTAGTAATTCGATATTTTATCATACTTCTTATCAATATACATCTCGATAACAGCTTAATCAACAAGAGCAACAGCAACAGCCTCCACCTAAGGCGCCCAGTCCACGTTCCGTAGGAAACGTCAAGTTGCAATCGCCACAATTGCACGAGGAGGCGAAATGTGCAGCATTGCGAGACTTTGAAGAGACACGTAATCTGGCCGCCCATCATGCCCAATTGAGAGCCGAGTGCAATTTGAAAGCCAAGCAGGCGATACAGCAGGGCAATGGTAGCGTGGCGCTGTACTATTCGGAGATTGCGCAGCTGCATAAGAAGAAGATCGATGTATTCAATCATCGTGCGGCCAACTGCATCATGGAAGTACACAAGCATACGCAAAACAATCCGGATTTGCTTGATCTACACTATTTGCATACCGTAGAGGCGGTTAGCAGTCTCGACTTGTTCCTGGATCGCCATATCAGTGTGCTGCGCAATAGCACGCGAGTGTATAAACATGTTTTTATCATAACGGGTCGGGGACTGCATAGCGCAAATGGTGTGTCCACCATCAAGAGAAATGTGAAGGCGCGACTACAGGAGCGACGTTTGCGGTAAGTGCCTTTTGTTTTTAGAGGATTAATAAGAAATGCATAACTTTTAATACTTTATCAGCTGGCAAGAGGTTAATCCGGGACTGCTTCGTGTCAAAGTTTTTTCAGCGTCGCGTCACTCTAAAAACTTTTGACTATCTGCATTAAGCGTCAATATATAAAGCTGTATGACTTTCAGCAACAATGGATACACAATTCATTTAAAGCCATCATATTTTGCGCTACCTCATTTTAATATTTTAAATTTTTGTATAAGATTTCTTACAAAATTAACAGTCTATCGATATTTACATTCGTATTATTTTGTGTGTTCATCAAGACATTCCCCACACTTTTTAATAAGCACCTCTTCTTCATTATTACAACTATTTTCTATTTGCTTTTAAGAATGTTTAACAATTAAGTTTTTCAAAATGTATATACATATATGCGAATGTATATATTTATCTTCAATTTGTATTTTCTTTACTACAATTATCAAGAAATTTGATCGTATATATATTTTTTTTAAATAAGAGTCACCAAGTTTTTGGGTTTTTGAAAGACCGAATGCGCCAATTTTTTAAATATTATTTCAAATACGGGAGATTTACCTTTTAAGTTTCTTAAAATCTTATAAAATCAAAGGTCAAAGTACTTCTTTATTTTCAAATAAGAGTCACCCAAAGTTTTTGGTGTTTTGAAAGACAGAATTAATGCGCCACTTTTTTAAATGTTTTTTTTGCAATTCGTATCTAATATATTTCAAATACGTGAGCTTTACCTTTTAAGTTTCTTAAGTTCTAATAGAATCAAAAGTCAAAGTACTTCCAACGATATGTATATCGAATATTTATAATATGCAGGAAAAACTTTATATAATTTAAGATTTTTATATATGTATATATATATTAAATTTAAGCCAAAAATAATTATTAAAATAGTTGTATAAGTAAAAAAAATGGCACTTTTACTTCGAAAACTCAAATACCTTTAGTGCTTACAGGTAAATTTTAAAATTTGAATAATTATGATAAGTGGAAAATATTTTGCATGTGCCAGTCTCGTATGAGGTCGTGTCTCTTATAGTTTAGGTAAAAACATATGTACAAACCAGCTGCCGAATGATAGCACCTGCTTGGATCTTAATGCAGGCTGTTCTCGATTCCCGGACTTTACTCAGGTAACTCATGCAGCTACAACCTGAAGGATTTTATACAACTCGTACGTTTCGTCTACCTAGAAAATTGGAAAGCCCCCTCGTAAAATAAAACACACGCCATTTAATGTTTAAAACATGGAAAGACAAATGTTTTACTATTTAAACTCAGCATCAGAAATATAAATACATATAAAAATGATATTCTTAAGATACACAAAGTGTACATTAGTGCATGCTTACACATATATCGAAATCTTAGGTGTAGAAAAATCAGGGACAGTCTAAACAAATGTGTCATATATGGCTTTGGTTCAGGCCTGAATTACCCTACATATAGGAACTAGGTAGGTTCATCTTGTAGTTGGTTGCATGGCGACTGGTTTTCCTTGCCGTCAAGGTTCAGGCGATTCATGGCCACCAGTTCCATTAGGTTAGCGCGACTGCGTTTCGGCGTGAAGCGAGTAGCAGAGTTTGAATTCGAGCCGCAACCAGCGCTTTTGTTAAGCTTCTCACGCGGTGGGGTATGCAGAAATACGCCCTCAAAAATAGTTTCCAAACTGTTGGAGCGACTGATGCCACATGTTGAATCATTTGCATTGTCGCTAGGCGCGCTGATCTGTGCATTGATCTCATGCAACGCCACGAATTCTGGGTTGTTCTGGCGCCCAGGACTGCGCTGCTGTGCCGGCTCCTGTTTTGGCGTTTCAATGTCCGACATATTTAGGTCATCAATGGGAGATGGCGTACGACCATGTGGCGAGAAGGCACGTATTTCGAAAGCGGGCAGCTCATCACAGTCCGCCGGTTCGCCCGGTTCAAAGGCCAGCGACAAATCACTTTCGCTCTCTAGCGAGGACATCGAACACTGAAGGATATAGGAGCTGTTTAGCTGTAGCTCAATACTGCCCATATTTATTGTATTTACCGCATCAGCATCCGATGTTGTGTCCATGTTGTACGTTGAGCGTGCTGTACTTATATGCAATGCCGAGATATCGTCAAGCATTACAAATATGTGAAAAAGTCGCTGCCTGTTGATTGCTGGCCTGTCAGCGAATTGCCTCTTTTGGGTTGCTTCTTTCGCGTGATTCGAGGGTTCTCAGCGCAGGTAGTCAATAAACTAACGCGCTTTAACTTTATTGCCGCACCAGTCGGCTGGTAAACAAAATATTGTTATTTATCGAAATGTTATCGATAATTAGAAGTCCGAGTCAGTGACAGCGTGACCATTCACTGCAAACAAAAAATACTAAAACTTTTGTATGAAGCAACATTTCAATTTTATCAGTGTCAAATACATTTATCGTTTTTGTATATACAAACATTTTTCTAACTGACGGATTGGTGATCACTGTACGGCCCAAACTGTACATTTTCTTAAATATGGTAACTTATTCTTTTCTCCTTTCTGTGGGTTTTTATATCAAACACAGGCCAAGTTTACTTTTCCCACTCTGCAAATAAAAAGGTATTTGAAGATATGCCCTACTATGAAGTTAAGTAAGAGCTGCATGTTTTCAAAGTTTAATGCAGACCTGGGCAGGAACTTCCGGTATATATGTTTGTATATATATATACAGCTGGAGCTGCCGAATCCCTGAATAAGGACAAAGCGGCGAATTATTCGGCAATAAGGGAAACATATATTCCTAATCAAGCGCTAGACAACACCTAATAACATTTTATTTAATTCGTACTATCAGCTACATTGTAGTAGTTATTATAATTTATGATACGTATTAGGTCAACTATTTTCTCTTGATAACCGGAAGCAGCAACCTTGTTTCCCAAGTAGATCGCATAACGAATGAATTTTTCAAACTCGGCTTCTTCGTATACTAATCGCTTGTAGCGCGGATGAACAAACTGTTGTTCTTCATCCAAAACAAACGGCTTTGAGTTCAGAATTCTAAAAGAAGAAGAATATTAAGAGTTATTAATAACTGGCTAAAATTCCTTTCAAATTTTAAATAGTAACCAACTTGCAAAAACGTAGCGCAATCACAAGTATGTTATCAATCGTCTCCCGAAACTTGGCGCTCCGACGATTGAGCAGCGAAAAGAAGGCGATCTCCTTTAGGTATTCCACATGACGCTGGTAAAGACCTTCAACAGAATCGACGGTGATTAGCTCATCGGTAAAAGACTTCCACGTGCCCTCCAATGCATTTGTGACCAGATGATTCTGCAGCGTGATGACAAAATGCGACAGTTTGTGACGCACCATTTGCAAATGACGATACTGCGATGACTGCTGCAATAAGCGGCCGTGCAGTCTGGATGACTGCTGGAAGTCCAGATAGGTACGCTCCATTATGAAACTGACGTGTCGCAGCTTAATCAAATGTGAGAATATTTGCGCATACTTGTCCATGGTTTCCCCGCTGAATACCAAATTCAGGGGCCATTCCATTTTGCAATCAAGTTTAAATATGGACAGGACATTGATATCCATTAGATCAAAAGCCTCCGGTATATTCGTGCAATTCAATGCGAGATTATCGGCAACTAGAGCTGCACCAGTTCCATCGGCTGCTCTGTTGATGAGTGCATTGTTGATTATGGCGTCGAGTACACCCTTTTGGCATAAGCTGTGCGGCACTACGCCAGATTCGATTTGCTCCAGGATTCCCACAATGAGCAGTGTGCCGAATTCGCCGTCTAGCAAAAAGAAATATTTGCGTAGCTGGCAAAAATGCTCGAAAACGTGTTGCTCGTGGAATATGCGCAGAACCTCGTTGCGTAGCAGCGACAGGTGCGATTTAAGTGGTATCATAACCGACAGCTGCATGTAACGTTTGATTATAAACGGATTATGTCCGATTTTTTGTATTTGTTCGGATCCTTTTGCCTCCGACGTATCCAATTGCAATGTGGGTAAGCTAAAGACAGGCTTTTCTCTTTTCAAAGCCACAGCTTCGGGCTCAACTACAGCAGCTTCTGCAGTCTGATCCGTATTATCCTGATTAGTATCACAGTTGTTACTACTATTAATACTGTTGTTATTGGCCGCATCAACCAGCTCGTTTGGTATATCGACTTCAATCTCTACATCGGATGTGGTGGACATGGGCGTTTCTGTATCCAGCGTGGACTCCACGCATAGCTTGTGTGGCTCCAATGGCAAATGCATGGCATTGCCTAAACCTCCACTGATCGTGAAGTCTCCTTCCATAACATGACGGCGATTTCGTGCAAGTTCCGTGTCCGAATGCAGTAGACGCTTCTCGGACTCACTGGCCGCATCCTCTTCACTATTCAATGAGCCGAAAGTGTTGTGCTGCTGCATGCGCTGACGATTGCGCTGCAAATCTGTGAGATCCTCGAGATTCATGTTCAAATCTGGCGGCAGCTTAGTTCGCTGTTCCGTACAATTAAGAACTCGCATCCGATTTTGTTCGGCTTCTGTGTAACTGGTTGCGCTGGTCGTCGCGTCTTTCTGCAGCTGTACTTCCATTTGACATTCTTGAAACTGTTCAGAGGAATTATTGCGCATACGATTGCGAGCCATTTCCATATCGGTCTCATTCGAGTTCAGCACATCGGCTTGATCCGGCTGTGATGTCGCTGGCACTGGCTTAACCTTCGCCAGTTCTTCGGGGTCTAATTCCTCGCAGGAAACATAGCTGCGACCACTACTTGTGCTGTCGTCTGGGCTCGTGTCCGCGACAGGCATTTCAATCGGTGCTGTGGCCTTTTGTAAGGCAGCTATTTGCTTTTCCAAACCCTGTTTCTCCTGTTTCAAACGCATTTCTTCCAGCTGATCGCACTTGCGCTGGTATCCTAGCTCAAATACCAGTCCCATACGTTTCTGCTCCAGACGCAACTGTTCCTGTTGCTCCCGTTGCTCGTTAAGCTCTTCATAGCGTTTTTGCTTCACTGCGTTCGCTTTCAATTGCAAATCACGCTGGCGCTGCTCCCAGGCAGCAATGTGCGACCGAGTGCAGTCCCACATGCGATTACCAAAGCGTCGGCTACTCTCTGTTTGTTCCTCTAAGATGCTTTGCATCTTAAATGGCTGGATGTTCTGCAGTATATGTTCGTAGTGTAGCTCCAGCTCTTGGCGCATTTTCATTAACTGCTGCTCCGACAGGCATACAACAAAGTCGGGATACTTTAAATTGAAAACCACATGCTGTAAGCCAACCACTGATTATTATGCGCCACATATTTCAATATGTATCCATGTCAACTTACCTGAGCATTGTAAGTCTTAAGGAAACGGTTGTACTTTCCGCATTGCAGAATTGCCTGCTCGCAGCCCGCAAGAAAGCCAGGCACTATATCTGACCGAACATAGTAGCCCTTGTCGAAAAATTCTTTGCTGCGCTCGTGCATCATCTTGTGCGGGCAACACTTGATGAAAAGCTCATTAAAGGGTTCCTCGAGCTCGCCCTGGTAAAGCCAACGCTGTAGCTGGGCGAAGTATGTGCCGCACAATGATCTCAACAGGTACATAAGTAATTGTGAAAATTCACAGTTAATGCCCACATTAATAGCTGACCAAACGAAGCTCAGCAGGCTCATTCCACACATTCCGTTCATGCCTTCAGCGATGTTCACTGAAATTTCACATGAATGTTTAGTTAATCGGTGGAACAAATTTGACGTGTCTTCTTCTTACGACTGGGCTCAGCCTGAAACATCTGATCCATCTGCTGCAGCATCTCCATGGCGGGACGTGCGCCGCGTAGCAGCTGTGGCAAATTTTGTACAGAGAGCGACAGCAAAAACAGTCGGCTATTCGTAAGGAATGTAATTATGGCCTGACGCATAGTCTTTAAAAAAATAAGAAAGCTTGAATTTTGGACTATTAAATGTTTTGCGGGCTGGCCTTACTCGGTTCAAAGGGCGTTCGATACGATTTGGTGCGTGCTGCCATTGAGTACGGGCGCTCAGTCGCCGATAGGCCCTGCCAGAGGCAAGAAATGGCTCCGCAAATTCTGCCAGCACCTCGGGCAGCACAACGCTCAGAGTGATATTTGGTTTCAACATAAAATAGCCATCGTCCGTGCAGACAATCGTATCAGATTGCAGACCAGCTAAGCAATGAAAGAATTAACAGGTTAATCGGAGAAAAATGCTAAGGCAAATATGCCCACCTGCAGCCTGCTTTAAATGATCAATGAGGAGAGGCAGCTTAATATACATCAACTGCAACGTCTGATCCTGGTGCCATTTGAGCTCGTTACTTACAAGCTGATCCGTGACAAAATGTTTCTCAGATGTAACGGTCATCGTTAAGCCCATATTAGTATCGGATTCTTTTGCTGACACTTGGCCTTTGTCCCGCAACGGCAAGTTAATCTTAACACGCCGTGGTCCTCTCCTGGATTCATTTATACGTGACATGGAGTCCTTCAGTACTGAGCAGGCCAAAATGGTTTTCTTCTGGCTCTTTTGGGCATTGCGCATCACGTCCAGATCGCTCACCGGAAATTCTGACTGCCGGCGAAATTCGATGGGCTTTATTGAGTCTCGCATATTTTCGACCGATCTTAATAGGGGTGGGCCCAGCGGTCTACCCGGGAATTGCCAATCCTGGCATGGGTTTGGCAGCAGTCGTAGCGGCCTGGCCAGCAAAATTTGGTTTTGCCAGGATCCACAGGATTTTGAAGGTTCTTGTTGTTGTTTTTGTTGCTCTTGAGCTGAGCATATGTTGAGAAGACAGCTTGGAATCTCGTTGCCTAGAGTGGAATTTAAATTCGCGCACTGCTCGTCCAATAGCTTCTGACACTCAGGTAGCCTATCCAATCGAGGAGACGATGGGTTCGTCGAACGTGGCGACAGCAGAGATTCGTAGATTTTTGTGCGTTTATTGGCAACTGAAGCAGGCGAAGGCATCTCTGCAGCTGCAGCTGCTTGCTCGGCTTGGGCGCGCTCATCCTGCGACAGCAACACGGCTATATTGGTGACTATGTTGAAAACGCTCTGGTTGGAATTGTAAGCTGCTTCCATTCAAATTAATAATAATATTTAACAAAATTTAAAATTCAAAAATATTGCAAATACAAATAGGAATCGTTCTTTGCGTTGAATGTTTTGGAGATGGACAATATTTACGTAGCTGTTACTCATAAAATATATCGATAACTATTATATGCGCGTTAATACTTTTATCTGATACTGGTTTAAACACTTGCAAATTTTTTTATAGGGTATGTACCAAGAGCTGTTGGCAGACAGCGCCCGTCCCTAGAGTGCATTTGAATGAAGAAAATTATCGATTTTCGTTTGTGCTGGGATGACATTCCATTCTTAGCTTTCAATAGTCCGTTTCCAAATTTAAAAAAAAGAAGCGGGACCCAATTGATTACAAAGTTGATTAAAAGGCCATTATTTTAAATCTTCATTCACATTCATTTTATTTTTTCATTCATTCTCCGAACGCTACATTTAAAAATGTTGAACTGAACTGGTTACATCTTAAGTTTATTACGTTTTCAATAACTTACAACTACATACAATCAGGATAATATATTGTTAAATAGAACTTTTGAAAGGTTACGTGCTGCCATAATACATTCAATGTTCTTGAGATTGGCGCAAGCTAGGTGTAGGTATTAAATATTTTATTAGAGCAAAGAAAAAATAAGGAAAATGCGGAGTAATTGGGAATAAATCAAACAAAACTTGCATAGATTGTTTACAACTCGGCAAAACGGGCGCCAGCGCAACGGCTTAGTGCACATAGATCAGCCAACCTAGTAATAGACTACAATATTAGGTATAGAGCATTGGGGGGCATCAGGGGAGCTTGTGGGTAATAGATCTCTGAAAGCTTAGCTCGTCGTTTGGAACTTGTTGCACGGTTGTATAATCGAGGTCTTCCGAGCAGGCACCGTTTCGGGCGTTGGTATAGCGTCGCCGGTGGTCACCTTATTGGCAAACACCTGCTTAACACTGCCGCCCTTCTGCTTGGCCATCTGATAATCGCCAGAATCGAAAAATTTTTGCTAAAAGAAAGGTTATGTAGATTAAGTTAATATATATGAGCGAGCTGTCAACTTACGCCCTTTTGAAGACGCTTCTGAAGGAAGGCGGAATGACCGCCAGGCACTCGAACACCACTTGGATATTTCGACTTAAGCTTCTCTTCTTCAATTTTCTCCAAGTCCCTGGCATTGGCTTGTTCAGCTGTTGGTTCGTTCTCCTGCGGCGTGGTTGCCGGGCTGTTTTCTTCAGTGGAGCTCATGATGTTTGTTCTACGACAAAACATATTAAATATGAGATAATTTAATAATGTTACACTCTATTTGTATGCGAACCAAAACAAATCATGTACATACACTTGTAAATTGCAAATATGGCGATATTGCAACCTAAACTGCATGTATACGCGACAAGGACAACTGAATTTAAAAAGCGAGCGAAAATGGCCTGATAAAATTGCATTTCATGAAACGCACACTCGCATATGTCCATACATGTACATATGTATATGCACATACAAGAACGTACATATGTATTTACATGGACTTGCTAATATATAGTGCGAACGACGGCAACGCGTAATATAATCGTATTAATTACATGTGCAAATAATGTTACGATTTAATACTTACGCAAAATATTCATACACTAATAAGTGTATGTATATGAGATTATGACTTTTTACCTTTGTCTGGTGTGATGCGTCAAATGTGACAAGTAACTGTTGTTTTCCTACTTTTTGCAATTAAGAACACATGTACGCCGTACGTCTTAAGCTTTTAATTGAGTTAGTAGACGAGTTGGTAAGGACACAATGACGTTATAGACTATAACGATGCAAATTATTTGTCCCAGATACACTTTTAATGAATTATTGCATAGAAATTCAAAATTTCCTCTTCTCGATACAATTAGTACACTTTTTTGGTAGACGCTACGAAATAAAGTTGTCGCCGATTATTCGGAATAAGTTCATTTGAGATAATGAACGAAAAGTTATGGGAGTCGGAACGTACGAACTAAGCTCGTGAGTCTCGTGCATTTATATCTAATGTTTTTTTTTCTTAATATGTTATTGTTAAATTCAATTTCGTTCATCGCACATATAAAGGATTATTTATATTTTTGTGCACTTTAATATTCGATAGAAAGGGGTCAAAGAATGATCATTGTAAACATAATAAATTGTGGGGAGTGAATTATGTTAACTGAATACACCGTTGCAGCCCTAGTCGCTGTTACTGTCAGAAACTGTTAAGGTATTTGTGGCAACTCTTTTTTGCTCAACACAATCATGGTGGCAACACTAAAGCCAGTCTTGCTACATTTTTTTCGAGGAACACACGTTTTGTTTATTTGCGCGGAATTTTGAATACAATTAATATTAAATAATTAATTAATACTCAAAATGAGTGCGATATCGAAATAAACCAAAAAAACGATAGGCAACAGTGGAAAAAAAAACGAAGCAAATAGCAGTGTTTGTGTACTGTGTTGATAGTGTGTGTGTGCGTTTGTTTGTGTGTGTCGAGTGAGTGCGTTATAAATAAAACGCCAAGAAGCTGCGTGCAAAAAGTAGACGCCAAGAAAAATAAAGAATGTGCCCAAACACCAGTGCAAGAAAAGAAACTGTTTTTATGTTGATTTTCGTTGTATTTTTAATACATTTCTAATTATTTTTTAATAAAGTAACGAAAGGCGAAAGTGCATTTTTACATGTAACGCTACTAAAGGTGAATATCGCGAGGGAAAATCATTTGCATTCTGCGACGACGAAACCAACGAATGAGGCTGTCAAAGCGTAATTGTAAAATTCCACTGTCTGGCACAGGCAACAGTCGCAGTTACAGTCGACGTCGCAGTCTGCGTTACACACATACATGCATATGCGTATATAAATGTGTTTCTATATAAAGAAAACATGAAGTTTTCTAAGGAAAATGTGTGCAAAAAATATGTATTAATAATGTGTATGTGTATTATTTTGTGCAGCTAAATTTACAAATAAACGTTTTTGAAACTTCGACCTGTAAACTTTATTTGGATTTAAGCAGAGGACACGTTCAACTTGCAACACGCTGTGTAATGGATGCAACATCAATAATAACACAAGTTTCCCGCGATGATGAACAATTGAATGTCTATCCAAGCGACAAAGGAGGTAAGAGACAACAACTATACACATTGAGAGAGAGTGAGCCCAATGACTCATGCGACAGTCCAAACGGCGTCACAACAAAGACGAAATAAAAATACTTAAAGGACAAGTGGTCACAAAGTTTGGACTGCCCCCCTTCTGACCTTAGCAATTGTTCAAGCTCCCACCCCAAACCAGCTCACTTGATAGCTTTTGTTTTTCTCTCACTCGCACACATTGTGTGTTGAGTGTGTTTGTATGTATTTTTGTGCGCAGCTGTTTTCTTGCCTATTGTGAATGATCTAACCACTTGCTAGCTTCTGACGTCGCAGTTTGCAACTCTCAAAGCGCCACCTGTAATCAACTGTGACGTCATTCTCTTGACAAGTGCACGCGAACAGCAAAATCAACGGCAGAACAAATTGCGTTACATTAACTGCCGTTCCATGTCCTAGGGATTGTCAGGGAGAAAAAGAGAGAAAGGTAGAGAGAAAAACAAGCACGCCTAACAATTGAAACCGCAATTAAATTGCATACTATTTACGAAAAAAGATAAAAAGTCCGACAGGGAGAGGGCGAAACCGGTATCGACTAGTTTTCGTGAAAATAACAAACAAACAAAGCAACAGACGATTAACAAACCGTAGCTTACAAAAAAGCTTGAATGAAAACTGCAGAGAGCGCGTTTTAGTCTCAAGAAAGAGAGCGAAAAGTAAAAAAAAAGTTGCATACTCTTACATATTTGTGTTTGTATGTTTGCAGTTATATCTTTAAATATGTGGGTATATATATTCATACGTATTACGTATACACATGTGTGTTTTTTATATTTCTTTTTTATTTGTGCTGCAACAGCAGCAGCGCACAAAGTACAAGGTGGGGCCCGGCCGAGACGAGACGAGACGAGACTTGCGCCTTAAAGTAACAACAAAATTTAATCTAATCTGCGGTCGCAAAAACAGACGACAACTATACTTTACACGAATGTATGTACGTATACGTAGATGTATATAAAAACACACACATTTACGTATATAATGGCAAAGCGTTTAAAGCTAAACAAAAAAAACTTTGCGGTTAGGTGCTAATTGACATCTCTCGTTTCTTGCCTAAATAAGTTTGTTCGCTTTTGAGTCGCTTTTGACAGTGCTGCCAATACAGCTCAAACTGAAACCCAAATATTTATCTATAATGGAACACACTTCCGTGTGCATACATATGCATGTACACATTTATGTAGCGTAGGCATTTTTTCACTCTTTGACTTGTTGAGCTATGTGACAATAAAAGACGGCGACGTCATCAACGCCACCCTGTCTCTCTGTATTGCTACGTTTGGCTTGTGTGGGTGTGAGAAGAGGGCAGAGCATTAGAACCGGCAAAAGATGAAATGTGTGTGTTCTTTTTTTATTATTTTCTTATTCTTTTTTTTTTCAGTGTGGGTGCCGCCTAAGTGCTGCCGCCCGACCGTCCGTTTTTTAATATTTATATGTGTAGATACATATATATATAATATATTTTTATGGGCAAACGCTCTAGTATCTCATTTCTCGATGGGATTGTCTGTGATTTTCAATTTCCCAAGGTCTTAAAATTAAATGACTTGCACACGCACACACGAAATAACAAATGCGTGTTTTGCCCTTTCCAAATAAAATCAAATTTAATTGTTATTACAAATCTACGTATGTACATATGTATATATGTACTAATTTGTCAAAGCAAAGGTGTTAATAATACAGATGAAAAAGTTAACAAAACGTATATAATTTGTTTAGTATTTGATTTAAAATGAAATTTGAAATGAAATAAATAATTATTATTTGCAAATTCTTATTATATAGTTTATTTTTATGCATCATAGCGTTTTGCCGACTCATGAATTGTTATACATTTTTTTTATGGTAATAATTTTAAATATACATTTTTATTTCTCAATAAAATGTGAAAAGTATGAGTTAATCTCATGTTTTTGTCATTTCAAATCATGGTACATACGCTCAAAAGAGGTCGCACCGCATACAAACATAGCTGAATGAATACTCTCATTCTGTAGCTTTTGCTCTCTTGTGTGTGAGAGATGAGAGAAAGAACAAAATTTAATTGAATTTATCGTAACTGTTTAAAATTACTGTTTTTGGCTGTATAGTTAGCGCGAACAGCTGTTACATTAACAGCAAGAAAATAATTTGCATTCAGAGTTGAAGTTTTAAATGCAGAAAGACAAACAAAGCAGTTTTTAATACATATTTAAAGTAAAAAGCTGTACAACTTATTTAATTAAACGAATGTTTCTATTGAAAGCAAACTGCATAAGAACAAATTACAAATTCTCTTTCAACGCTTGAGATTTTCATTTAATTTATTGACGTTATTTTGTTGGCTTTGAAACACCTATCGTAAAAACTTATATGTATTGGTAGAAACGGCGAGATGCATAATTATTAAAAAGAAATATTGTGTATATACAAACATTTCTACATAGATTCTCTATAAAACGATAGGCATGCGAAAAATAAACTACATAAATGCGTACCGCATGCTGTGCAAAAAATTTTGATGGTCTCGGTAGAAAAACATTTCCTATATGTTTCTACATATTGATAGATGTATGTATAAATGTATACAGCTGAAAAAGCCATAATTAATTTATTTTTGGTGCTTTCTTAGATCCATTCAACGGCCAGTTAAAACAAACTATTGCAGCTGCCTGTATACTATCCACTTTCAAAGGGGGAGGCTTTGACGTTCAATGACCTTTGTATGGGGATTTGTATATTCCAACCCCCAAAGCGACATCTTTGTGCAAATGCAACAAAGGGGTCGGCAGCTTTTTCTCTCCGCATGGCCGCCCCCTTGGGAGACCTGCTCTTTCATTTGTGGCAGGTGTTTTCCGAGCTTGTGCAAACATCACGTGCAAAGTTGAGCAGACAAAAAAGAAATAAAAAAAAATCACATTTTTTTAGACATTCGTATGTCTATCTGTGTGTGCGTGCGTGTGTGTGAACTTTTCAAAAGCTTCATAAATATGTTGAAGGTCGAGCTGGTGCCCATTTAAGGCCAGCGCGCAAAAGAATTGGGAATGATATCATATGTATGTATGCCCAGAAGATAACAAACATTGTGAACGCGATTAGATAAGGCAGCAAAATGTTTAAAGTTGGTGCGTTCTCTTGCCATTATTCGACTTTAATTTTTGTTCTTTTTATTTTCATTTTCCTTAAATTAATTATCAAAATACACAATCGCACACCAATGTGCATATCTACTATATGCATGTATTGCTGGCAAGCAAAGAATATAAATTAAAATTAACAAAAAGAAAAAGAAAAGCTTGTCATTTTCATTGCCATTCCGCGTCGGCAAGCTCAAAATGCGAAAGTGTATTTTCCAATTGACGCGTAAGGCCGTTTAACAGTCTGCTGCGGATTTCACATTTGCATAAATTAGTGCAACCAACTCTGTTAATACCCTGTACCCTGTATAATGGATATGTGAATGTGGGTAGGCCCCTGTAAAAGATACTACTTGATATTTAGGCTTCTGTGTAGAATAAAATTATAAATATTTAACTTTGATTTAAATCAACCAACAATATGTATACGAATACAGAGTAACTCCTAGTCAGGCGCTCTCTTTAGGCATTTTTGTGTTCATTTTGTTACATAAATCTTTTATTTAATTGTGTGCACGATTTTGCAAAAGGTTACAGATGCAGACAGCTGCCGTTTTGTGTTAGCTACATATGTACATATCTAAACAGATACATTGAACATACATCAAGTAGAACTGGTTAAAGACAAATGCAAATACTTGAACTGGAAACATGCTTAATGAACCTTTAACTCAATATTTAATTATATCAAACTGTTCTGTGTCTTGATTATACATATATAATAAATTATGCGAAATTTGTTTATAGACTGTAAAATCGTTTTCTATAAATGTCCAATTTAATCAGTTGTAATGCAGAATCTAATAATTGAAATAAATTAATATGAATGATTATTTAGATGATTTTAAGAGAGCGAATGAGCGTTAAAAATAGCGTAAGAGCGCGAGTGAGGAAAAAAGAGAGTGAGAAACAAATGTGTGATACAAAAAGACAGACAGAGAGAAACTGTTCTCTAGCTTACATTAAATATCAAATTATGAGATTCGGAGGCCATCAAAATTACATAGAAGAGCGTTCCACTTGTTAAACGAAAGCAGAAGTGTTAAATCCATATCGAAAAAACGTGTTCTCAAACTGAGTTGCTAAAAAATATGCAATATATGGTAATTTGGATCTGTGAATGCTGCAAAAGAATCAACAAACCAAACTTGGCATCTCTATCATTAATAGTCTCTGAAACAGATCGACTTTTATGGCCAGATTGTCAAAATTGATTTGGCTGATGATACTGATTAAAGATTAATGATGTAAAGCCTTATGTCGGCCTGTTACAACACCTTGCCAACTTTGCAGGGTATACATTTATATGGAATGTAAATGCAGAACTTTATATATATTTAATTTGTGCAGTTATCCAACTTTACAGGGTATACATTCAAACGGAATGTAAATGAAGATCTTTTTATATATAATTTGTGTACTTTTCCCACTTTGCAGGGTATACATTAAAATAGAATGTTAATGAAATGCTTTATATAATTAATTTGCGCATTTCCCAACTTTACAGGCTATACATTTACGTTGAATGTGAATGAAGAACTTTGCGTATTTAATTTATGTACATTTCCAACTTTACAGGGTATACATTTACTTTGCATGTAAATGAAGAACTTAATATGTTTAATTTGTTATTTTTTAAGATCTAAAGTGATTTCGTACCTAAAAATTGTGGCACTTGTCGAAAACATAAAAAATGGCTAAAGCACGAAATTCGTGACTGTGGTATTTCATATTTGATGTACCTGCCCACGGATGGCGTTATTTGCGTTTATTACGGTCAACTGGCTGCCAAATTTGGTGTCTATTTAAATATGATGGACAAAATTGTGCTCATAAAATTTAGCTATAAATGTGGCCAAAAGAAAATAGCAAAAATAAAACGCCCAGGCATAGAGCCAGCAAGTCAATAATTCAATTTAAAGCCTTAAAAATAGTACAAAAGCCTATTTGAGTGTGCTTGTTTGTTGTGGACCACAGGGAGGGAGAGAGGTGAGGCAGGGGGGGGAGGAGGCTGCGCTTGAATGCGCACCGCATACCCCGCTCGGCGGGCGTGCGCATCTGTTACGAGCAGAGCCCACAAACCTAAATATAGATATGGGATATTCTTGGATATATGTATATGTATAGGTATATGTATGTGCATGGCGGCGGCCTATCAATATATTTATGAGGACCAAATGCTGTCGATGTCAGTTCAACAAGTAGGCGACAAATTGACAAAGCCTCGCACTGACTTTTATGCAAAGTTATGCAAAATGTTATGTATTGGAACTGTGGTCTAGAGATGGGCGCGTGACACGACCTAACTGGCCCACTGACACGAAACGTGCACCAAAAAGAAAGCCTGAGCACGCAAACCTTCGGCGTAGAAGTCAGATTAGCTGCGATCTGAAGATATTGCTTGATATATGACGCAGCTAGATATTTAACAGGCTTTATCGTGCCTTTATTTTCGTGCTCGTGAGAGGCCACGACAAAAAAGAAAGGCACGCGCCCAGCTCTGGTGTGGACCTACTTTAAGCCTTAAAAGGGCGGGTCGTTTCACCTTTCACCTGGCTACTAATCAATGTGTAAGTGCGTGCTTCCATCACGCTTTCAACTCGTTATTGTTGTTGTCGTCTGGGCTTTCATTATGCTTGTTGCGAAGACGTCGACGCTCATCAAATATTCAAGTACAGCTGCACTTTAGAATGTCGCCCGCCCGAGCAGGGCGCTCAACAAGGGCTGCTGGGCGCTGCTCCAAGCTCAGTTTATGCTAGCTAACGGTTCATTGAACCGTTCTAATGTCTGGCTTAGCTGCTGCAATCCTGCTTGGCCAACAATTCGCAACATGTAACATGCAACATGCACTTCATTCATGTTTTGCCCAAGTCAAGTGCTGTTGCAAGCTTATTTCCTTTGTTACCCACAACAAAAGCCACACGAAGAACAAGAAGGAGTTGTAGTTGTTAGTTGGTTGGTTTAACGCGCTCTTTGGGGGCCGCACCTGAGGCGGCGACCAGCAAGCAGGGCTTAAAGGTCAACCGGCGACCTTCCTACCTGTGCGTGTCTCTTGGGCCTGTATGTGTGTATGCAATTATAGCATTTACCATCGATTAAACGCATGCATGTATGCTAAATTTGCGACAACACAGACCCCCAAATACCCCCCCCCCCCCCCCCTCACCCTAGCGTGTGGGTTTTTCCATTTCATATTTCATTTCATTTGAGTTTTCTATTTTCAGAAATATTCACATACCAAAAAAAAAGGCCACATATGAAAAGCCATTTACATGTATATTTCCATATTTATTTGTGTCATTATCTATATATATATATATAAATATATATTAATGCTTTTATGGCCACAATAAACGGCCGATCCAGCGGACAAATTCAACCTTGCACATATTTAGCTACTTTAGGGGCGTATTTGGTTAGTGAGCGGAAATGGTGAAATGCAAATGAAAATGAAATCAAAATGCGGCATTTATTTATGGCTTATTCGCTATAAAAACGTTTGTTATAAAAGTAAAAGTTTACCACTTGAATCGTAGAATCTTTCAGGAAACTTATAAATACTTAAAAGTCTCAAGTTAACATTAAGAACATACATTCTGTTAGTAATATGTAAGCATTGCTTGAACTCATGAGAATCGGATAGGAAGGCAATCCATATAAAACAGCTGAAAAGAGAAATGGAGGAACTAAAAGAGTAAAAGAGAATATGGGAGATAAAAAGAGTGGAAGGGACAGAGAGAAACAGATTTCTAACTAACAGAAATATCAAATCATGAGATTTAAAGCCTGGTCTTAAAAGGAAATGAGAAGTTTTATATCTATATCTCAATACAATAAATATGATTATAAGACAACGCAATGCACTTGTCGGGCATTAGAATGCTTGAACAACAGTTTTTTGTCCAGGAATCATATTTCATCTTCCAGCCGAGCATTCGCGGCTTGTGAATTCCTTTCTTATATATTCTTACAAATATAAAATATCACATTATTATTGTCAATTGAAATAATCAATGTAAATTCCATTCATTCAAAAATGTATTTACTTTAATCTCGTGTGGTCAACTTCTAACCGCAAGTGTTTATGCCCTACCCTGGAATTGCCAAGACGATTTGTCAGCGTTTTCAGCTTTGGATAAATAAAGCTGTAATTACGCGATTATTGTATTTTTGAAGTTCGGCTAGAGGTTAGTTTAGTAATTCTCTTGGCTTAACTAGCATCTGGTCAATTTTGTATTCCTCTACCCCAACTGACGAGTGCAGTTCTCTAATGTGTAAACTCTCGATTCTTTATATATATATGCATATTTATCTTAATAAAAAATGTTCTTTCCTTTAGAAGATGTGGATCGTTTGAAGCCACAAAAACGGGGAATTCTACAATCGTTACTTTGCTGCTGGCGTCGAAATCGAACGAAAACAAATCAGAATGGCACACAGATCGATGGTTCAACAACACCGCCACCCTTACCGGACCAACAAAGGTACCTACTACCTCAGGTTAGGCACTCCGATATGCATAGAAAGTGCATGGTCATCGATTTGGACGAAACTCTAGTGCACAGTAGTTTTAAGGTATGTTCACAGATCGTAATACTATCGTAACTACTTCAAATAACAACAACTCATATATCTCTTTACCCTTAAAGCCTATACCTAATGCCGATTTCATAGTGCCTGTAGAAATCGACGGCACCATTCATCAGGTTTATGTGCTAAAGCGACCGCATGTCGACGAGTTTCTACAAAAGATGGGTGAACTGTACGAGTGCGTTTTGTTTACAGCATCACTAGCCAAATACGCAGATCCCGTTGCTGATCTGCTAGACAAGTAAGTAATATAATTAAATAAGTAGAGAGTACATAGTGAGAGCTGTGCTTAAATAATTTGGATAAAGTCCCTTCGTAACTATTAACTTACCTTAATAATTTTCTTTCTAAACTTGCAGATGGAATGTGTTTCGTGCAAGACTCTTTAGGGAATCATGCGTTTATTACAGGGGTAATTACATAAAGGATCTAAATCGTTTGGGAAGGGATTTACAAAAGATTGTCATTGTTGATAATTCACCGGCCAGTTATATATTTCATCCCGATAATGCAGTAAGTACTGCAAAGTATACAATATACATAAATCAGCACTAAACATTTGTCATTTTCTCAAATTGTTTTGGACAGGTTCCTGTCAAGTCCTGGTTCGACGATGTCACCGACTGTGAACTGCGCGAGCTGATACCGCTCTTTGAGAAGCTAAGCAAAGTTGATTCCGTCTATTCGGTGCTCTGCAATTCGAACCAGCCGCTGAACAATCAAACGCACGAGCTGCAGCAGTCGCCGCAGCAGCACCAGCAACAGCAGCAGCAGCAACAGCAACAGACCATCTCTGCCACAACAGTTATTACACAGGCGAGCACACTGTCTGCACCGACCATGCTGAATGCTGCACAACAGCAGCAGCCGCCGCAGCAGCAGCAGCAGCAGCAACTGCAGCTGTCCAGTCCGCCCAGCCCACAGAGCGAGCTGCTGCAAAAGACGTAACATCAGTGGGAATTAATGTTTATAAATATATGATAAAATTTATACATATTATGAGACCAAGCAAAAGCAAACAAGCAAAGCCTGCAAAACAATACATAACCATGCGCCGACACACACACACACACACACACACACACTCTACACCCTACAACCACACACGAACACACACACACGCCAACTACAATAACAATAAAAACATTGCTACATTTATATAAGAAATGCAAACAATCCTCTTTATGGCATTGCTATGTAACCCTTCCTAGTATAAGCTCAAGTTTTTATTTTTTAATACTATTTACAAAGCACATTTGTTATTTATTTTATTTTTTTTTTTGGCTCTTTGCTTTGTTATTTGTTTTTTACATATGTGCGTGCGTGTGTAATTTTTATAAACGAAAGCAAAGATACGCCACGCTTACCCATTGTACTGGGTATTGTACCCACTTCTAATATTTAAAAGAAAAGCAAACATACATAAATATCTATGTATAACTAATAATCATTGAACTTTTATATACACCATATATATATATATATACATATTTTAAGTGCGTATATTTAACAACAAATAAGAGCAAGGGGAAAAACTAAGCAAGCTAAAAGATATAAAACAGCTAACAAAAAGAAAAACAAAAACAAAAAAAAACAAAAATTAAAAGAATAACTATACATATGGGCAGAGAGATAAAATCAAATTCAAAATAGCATATATTTATATATATATTTTTTATTAAAGCGAAAAACAAAAAAAAAACACATACTTAAAGAAAAGAAAACAATTTACGTGTACTACAAAAAATTTATATATACATCTTATATATAATAATGATATATATATATATATATATATATATATATATAGATTAGGCGTATGTATACACCACTTTGCTTAAGCTAAGGCATGTATAAAGATTTCGTAAATTTATAACCACGTTTATGCGGTTGTTTCCTATTCGTGATTTTCCGTTAAAAGTCCAAAAATTGTAAGAAACATTTTCTGCCGCATGGCTAATCACGCATACGAAGCTTGGCATAAACGTAGTTTAATTTATAGCATGCCCAACAAGGGCAAACAAATACACACACACAAATGCTACAATTATTTAAATTTGTTTAGCATCAATTTATAAACTAAATACCAATTGACTCGTATGCCACTTGTTGGGCATCCAAAGTCTGCGGCATGAACGCAGTTAGCTGCTTAAAGGGCAAAAAAAAAAGGCTGCGCTTATACGTCTTTCAATATCATTTATTCTCGAATTCGCTAATAACTTAAAAGCACAATTAACGGTTTCTCACATAAATTCAAAATATGCACAAAACATATCCATCAACTTAAAATACAAAATACAGACCGTGTTAGGGTATCAAATAAAATTTGTGAGCTTTAGTTCCTCGAATCATGAAAAAAAAAACACAACAATCAACCAATTGAGATTCTTGATGTTGGGTATGTGTATAAACGCAGCTTTTTTTTTAGCAGGCTTTTTAGCTTTATATATCTAAAAGGCAAATCGTATACACTTAAACATTTATATTTAATTTGCTTTTCCTTTAACAAGTGCGCTTATGAAACGCATTGCAATATTTCATCTTCTATATATCTATATCTTTAAACCTTTAAACCTTCTACCCAATACTACCGTGCGGACATGTTTCGTGTTTTCTGTGCAGGCAGTTCAATAACATTATTACTCCGACCAAGTAAATAATAGAATACAACAAACGGTATACATATATATATGTATATGTATATTCTCGTAAGCCACACTTATATTGAGCTCAAGCTGGCCACGCCGCAACCCACCTAAATATAATATATATGTATGTATATATATTTATATATGCATAAGTATATAAATATATGTATGTATATTGATGCGACTACCGTTAACAAAAGAAGAAAAGACGCTAACGCTACCCACAACGTGAATACCGACCAGTGCCGTCACGGCTTTCCGATCGTACGACAGTTCAGTCATGTTTCTACACACTCTAATTCTCAACTAGTTTTTGCAAACATTTCTAGTGCATAGGCTTTTATATACTTGATACTGATAACAATACAAAATTCTGCACGTTGTAAACGCGCTATATTCTCATCATATAATTTGCATGGAAGCAAGAAAATTGACCATAAGGCATACTTAAAAAAAAAACAACAAAAAAATGGATATTTCATAATATTGTATATCATTTACACCTGCTGCTAAAATTGTAATAAACGTTAGCAACTAATAACAAGCAAAATTTAAGTATAAAATGCGATAATGATAATGTATTTAAATAATGCATATATTTAACTGTTTTACATTAAATAACAAAAAAATAATAATAATAATAATAAAAAAGTATAAAACAAAAACCGAGCAACACTTAATTTATCATAAAGTTAAAAATTCTATTTTTAAAACGAGCCTATAAATGTAACGCATAAATGTCGGATAAAAAAAAAAACAAAACAAACCAATTTAAATCTACAAAATATTATGTCAACAAAAAATAAAACAAACAAACAAAAAAAAAATTAAAACCCAAATAAAATTGATTTTTACTAAACTCAGTTATTGGTTTTGTGTGTAAAGTTTCGAAATATTCCCAATTAAAACTAAGTGAATAAAGTAAACTGCCGCAACATTAAAACAAATCCAATTACATTTCAAATAATCATCATGTTGCGTTATTACCGACCGTCTGGAATATGGGGAAAGTCTGCTCTGTAAGTTTCATAAATCCGTATTATGCAATCAAACTAAACACATTATCTATTGTTTGCGAATTTGGAATAAAGTACTATTTATTTTTAAATTTTAACGCACATTGTTACATACACCTCGCATTTCGTTCTACATACTATTTAATACACATATTTTGTCTTGAACTTAGTGGATAAACTAAAGACATAGGCAATTGATTTTGCTTTTGCTTTTAAACGGGCCGAGAAAAACGCTTTAGTTTATGTTTGCCTTACTGTTATTTATTACATTTCTTTTGTAGTTTTCTGAAAGCGTTGATCAATTGCATCTTAACAGGGCAAGCAAAAGAATTATAAAAATGTTCTAACAAATAACTTTGTAGCAAACCGCAGAGTGAAAATTACGCTTTATCGCCTTTTTTGTATAATCTCAAATACAAAATACATCGAAAAGTTCTGAGTTATTAGATACATACATATATTTATTTAGTTTATTTAGAAATTGTTCTTTAGGTAATCTATATTCCATATATTCAATTTGTTATTTAAATTTAAATGCATTTAAGTAACGTGTTACATTATTTTATTCATTTTTTAGCTACATGTTTGTCAGGTTGTTGCACTGTAAGAAATTCCTTCATTGATACTTGATCGTAGGTGTACATAATTTCATAACTATATGTATATTATATGTATATATTTGTTTATATATAAATATGTATATATATAGCATGTATATTTTAATATGCAATATTGTTTAAATGTCGACTTTGTTGTTACATTATAACATTTTACTTAAACGATTGCTGACTAGACTAGTGCGTATTGAATCGGATCGCATTTAGAATTGGGTTTCTTTAAGTATGCAAGTCGCTTGGTTGCCATATATGTTCGCTTAGACATTTAAAGTATTTGTTTGGTGTTTGTTCTTTTTGGTTTCTCTTTTTCTTTTAACTGCTTAAACGATAGCTTGGATACCTAATCTCATTGTTATGCGGATTGAAGCTAACACAAAGGCATCTGCTATTATTTAATTTTTTGTATAGTTACTATAATCTTGCTTTTAGAATACACATAATTTAGAATACAATTGTGAAAGTTTCATACTTTGTTTTTATTGTGCGCTTTTTAGAAAGTTCTTAATCATTGAGTTTGAAGTGTGTGAATCGAAAATTTAAATATTGCACGCCTTTTAACTATACCTTTTTGATTTTGTTGCGATTGTTGCACATTTTGTTCGGTGCGGGTGTTTTTACTTTTTTGGTATAACAAATACTTCAGAGTAACAAAAAAAAATGTGTTTTTCGTGTTTCAGTTAAATTAAAAATTATGTAGAAAAATGTACAGAGCTTTGTAATTACAGATAAAATACATTCACACTATATGTACTCATGTGTGTGTGTGTGTGGTTGTGTGTTTGGCATTAATGCCTAATTTGCTCGATCCGATATCGGTCAGCGACGACGCTTCTGTCTTTTGTTGTTGTTCTTTTAGTTGTTGTTAAATCATTGTGTTTGCAGCAGCGCGTTCCAATTACAAATCACTAGAAATAATACGTAGCTAATCGGGTGGGCATATCTAAAGCATTGTCTTTTTAGCACATGAAACGTTAGACATGCGCAATGGGCATTTGAAGCGTCTTCGCATCCCGATAGGATTTATCCTACACGTACTGATGATCCCCGGCCAGTCCATCGGCATCGGCACAGTCGGTGCGCACCAGCGGTTCCTTCTCAATTGTCTGATGCACCTGGGCATCGTAGTCATAGTAGTTCATCCAATCCACACGGCGCGGCTGCACTAAGCCAAAGCAATTGCAATCCAGAAAGTCAACTAAATTAAGTAGCGGTCCACGCGTAAACGGGCTGTGTCCACCCTTGGCCTGGAAATGGCGATATCGACCACGATTCATGCGCTCGTTGGTAGTCATCCCCAAGCAAATCACTTGATACGTTTGGCAAACTGTCAGCAGTATGACCCAGGACATGTGCAATAGTGCATTACCCATGACCCAGCCCACCCAAGCATTACAATTGCCAATAGCTCGCATGGCGGTAAGAAAATCTAGCAAAATGAAATTAGTCATTTATTACTAAAATGGAGATTGAGTAAATAAATAACACACTTACCGTCAAAGTGCACATTACACTCGTTCACATAGAACTTGGAGCCACCGTACAGCATCCAGACGCACATGATCAACAGCATCCAGAGAAAGCCCATAAAGTAACTATGATTCTTGAGACCGATGCAATTGCCTACCCAGGGGCAGTGATGATCGAAACGTGCCACACAACGATCGCACACGGAGCAGTGCTTGGATCGAATAGGCCGGCGCACCAGGCAACCCGAGCAGAAGGAGGCGGGCTCAAAGCCAATGCCACCCCGTTCCGACAGCTCAATAATCGTCTGCAAAAGAAATCCAACATTGAAATAGAATATTGAACAATAATTTAACCAATTTAGTAATATACCTTAAATCGCTGCTCTCTGGTGGGTCGAATAATGCCCGGATCACCCTTCCAGGACTTAAGAAAACACACCCAAAGCCCCAGCGAGCTAATTAGGAAGCACACAGTGGTCGCAAGCGACACAGCATCATCGATATACATAAGCCAGGTGACGTAGAACCAGGCCTTGGTGGCCAGATAAACAGAGAGCGGCAGCAGCGCCATCAGATGCTCATCAAACAGCGTTTTACCAATTGTATGGAATATGGCATACAGGCAGCCCAGCAGGAAAAATTTAATAATGTACAGCGTGTTAAGGGTAAAGACAATACCGGCCAAATAGAATGCGGTAAACGGGCAGGCGACCATGGACCACCACCGCAAGCGTTTATCATGGCGTAGTTTCGAGACGAGAGATCTGCGCTGCTGTGACGTGAGTGATGCATCCCTGATACGATCCAATACCTTGGCACCAATCCAAATGGCGCCCGCTTGCGTCTCCAGCATCGAAAGCGGCGTCTCGGCGCGCAAATTAGGCACATCCAGGGAAGCTTTCGACTTAAGCACCAGCGTGGATATGGCGGTGGAATTGCGCGCCAGTATGGCCCAATGCAGTGCCGTGTTGCCGTGTGTGTAATCAACCATGGCGGGATTCGCGCCCAAAGTGAGCAGCAGGCGCACAGGATCCAGAGCACACACCTGGTAAGTGAAAAAAACATTTATACATAAAGTAACATTTTTTAACAACAGTAGAATTCTTGCAAGTTATATTGATTAGGTTTTATATACTTCGATAAAGTTAAGGCGAGCATCTGCTTTTAAAAGCTGTTTTGTTGAACAGTGTAATGTGTTCTATTTTAAAGTTCAAGACTTTATTAAATGAGTAGATTTGAAAACGGTGTCATTGTCAGAAATTCTTACACTTCATTTGGATTTAAATGGAGAATGATTTTTCAAGTCTTTTTATTATCTATACAAAATTTGAATATTTATAATTATATTATACAACATTTCATATTCAGTGATTTAGATTGTGTCTTTAATGCATTTTTGAAAGTTCTACTTTCCGAGCGACCACTGTACAATGTTTTAAGACATCAAATTTGGAATAGAATGCAGAAAAAAATATGTTTCGGAATCGTACACGCTTCTGTCCTATGATTTGTTTAATGTTTTATCGACAACTGTGGCAAAATCAAAAAAAAAGTCACTTGTCAATTGTTGCACTTGGCTTCAAAATGCGGAAAGATTAGGGGAGTTTGTTGCCATATTTACTCACCTTCCAGGCGGCCCACATCAGGGCAGTCATACCGCCGCGATCC